TGTTTTAATTTTAACTTTTGGCATTTGATTGTCCCATGACATCTTTTACTTCTTTTTTTTTACAATTTATTTATATATTGACAATAACATGACAATGCTTACTGTTGCACCAATTGTCATGAAAAAAACACAAATCTGATACAGATTTCATTCTGTTTGAATGAAGAGTTATAACTCTTAAACAGAACCATAAATGATAATAATTCATATCTTCTGAAAATTAATCAACTGTAAACAAAAACTATAACATAATTTATCATCGACACCATCAATCATGGTTGTTAAAAATGGTTCGTTTAGATCTATAAAGAGGTTAAACTCCTAACTATCCTACTGTCTGTCGATACATTTATTTTTGGCATTGCACTAGTCATGTCTTCTTTGACTGTCCATGACGTTAAAATACTAAATCCCTGGGATGTGTTTTAGTTGATTTTAGTCTCTGATGCATGATTTTTTATTATTAATTGTTTTGGCTTTTAACTAGTTGTCAGTAACTGCGAGTACTCTCAAATCGTACTTTCTTGTTTATTTGACCTGTTGATACTAATTGTATTGCTTTTTTGTTATTTAATGTTATTCAGGGTTATATCTGGTCTATATACCAGCTTTTATAAGTGTTTGGTATAACTATAAATTTTCACTTCGTACCATGAACATCAAAATTATTTATTTTGTAATAATATTTCCTTTCTCTATTGGTACTGTACACGTATACCTGACAACAAAATTATTTTCATTTACCTGTGTTTAAAGTTATTGCAAATGGATGGTATTTTTGTTCGAGCATATTGTTTTTCTTTAATTGTTTAACATTTCTTACCGATATAACATGTTACTTTTATTATTCTTCCCTTAGTTTATTTATTTTGTATTCAAAATTATTTATTTTGTACAAATATTTCCTTTCTCTATTGGTACAGTACAGGTATACCTAACAACAAAATTATTTTCATTTACCTGTGTTTAAAGTTATTGCAAATGGATGGTATTTTTGTTCGAGCATATTGTTTTTCTTTAATTGTTTAACATTTCTTACCGATAACATGTTACTTTTATCATTCTTCCCTTAGTTTATTTATTTTGTATTTACATTGTGTCATAGGTCAAATTTATTTGTTCAGTGTATGTTCAATGGTGTTAATATGTACTTTGATTGAGCTGGGAACATTATATCTAATGGGAAATGAATCTGATACGCTTTTCAGTATAAAATTGATAAAATCTCGGACTCCCCGAGACTTCCCAAGATTTACGGATTTTGGTAGCGTCTGACTGAAAAACTATCAGAACTGCTCAACAAATAAACCACATAACTCTAATTGTAAATAAATACAAGTTTTATCATTTAGTAGATTTATTTTGTCATATAAAATTACCAAAATAAGTTTGATTTATTTGATGTGAAGTGTTTTATAATAGTTTGGAATTTGTAAATCATCGCGGCAATGGCCGCCATTTTTTTATTACCTGGTTTGCATTCTGCACAATTCTGTGATGAAATGCTTGCGATTTTAACAAATTTGAAGTGACAGAATACAAGTTTTATACACTAGCATCACTATAAAACTAGTTTGAATGACATTTTATTGATAATATCAGAAATTATTAGGATAATAGCGAGTCCGTTTTTAACACATGTCCGTTTCTGTATCGTATCTTTATTAACTATGGCACGACGATAAAATCGACTACAATCAGGTAGTGTCAAGTCCCGTCAATATATATGTTCCTGGATTGAGTTAAGCTATTTCAGTTGAAATTTTATAGTGTGTCTTTCTATGTTGTGATGTTACACTATTGTTTCAGAAAAAGGGTGAAGGTTTGGTACCATTAAAACGTTTAAACCCGCTGCATTTGTTTGCACCTGTCCTAAGTCAGGAATCTGATGTTCAGTAGTTGTCGTTTGTTGATGTGGTTCGTAAGTGTTTCTCGTTTCTCGTTTTTTATATAGATTAGACCGTTGGTTTTCCCGTTTGAATGGTTTAAACTAGTTATTTTTTTGGGCCCTTTATAGCTTACTGTTCGGTGTGAGCCAAGGCTCCATGTTGACGACCGTACTGTGACCTATAATGGTTTACTTTTATAAATTTTTACTTGGATGGAGAGTTGTCTCATTGGCACTCATACCACATCTTCTTATATCTATTGTTTGTCGTTTTTTAATATTTGTTCTGAACTTAAAAGAAATATTATAACTTTAAGCTGTTTTAGAATTGATTATATTTGGGCGAGGGGATCAGACGGCAAATTGATGGATGATGATTATTTTAGAAATATAGCCTGAACAATTAGAGATACAAATCAAGTAAAATTTCATGTATGGCGGGATTAAAATTGTCTTTGTATGTATATCGTACTACTACAAGTGTCTTGTAAAAGAATTAGGAATAAATGAGCACTCAGGTAATCCTACACACAATAACATATCATTTGACAAGAATGAGATTTTGGCGAATCATAAGTCCTTCATTGCTTCAATGAACATTACATTGAACAGCAAATCTGAGGACTTACCTAGTTTGGATTGGATACCTAAGCTTTACAAAACTCCGTACAGACAACGGTACATAGCCGGCTCATCTGCATTTTCTAAAGGAATTGTCCATTAGATTGACAAATAGTCTGTCCGCAGTGAAAGAGAGTCTTCAGAATACTGTTAAACTGTTTACTCGTGTAATGGTAGTAACCATATGTGGATTCTAAAAATAAACTCTAAAGAACTTCTGAATAATTTTAAATCTCAAACTTTCTCTGAAATTAATTCTATCAAAAGTTTTGATTTTTCAACCCTGTATATCACCATTCCCCATGTGAAATTGAAAAATCGTCTAAAAGAAATAATCCACAATGCTTTTCAATATAAAAATGGAAGCATACGCTATATTACTTTGGAATACCATACGGCATATTTTGTTAATAATGAACAAAAAGGTAAAACATGCTACACAAAGGAACAAGTGATCAGTATGATTATTGCCAACATATTTGTTGAATTTGGAGGTAAACTGCGCATTTCCTTGCCAACCTCTTCTTATTTTCATATGAGTCGGAGTTCCTTCAGACACTTGTCAAAAACAAGAAGATAAAAGAAGACAGATCATTTAATTTCACATTCACACATTCAGATATATTGTTGATGCTCTTTCCATTAACAATTCAAACTTTTCTGATTGGGTTCCATTAATTTATCCTCCTGAACTAGAAATTAAAGAAACAACAGACACGGCTTCCTCAGTCTCATTTTTAGACTTATACCTCGAATTTGACCTAAGCGGTCATTTCAGTGGAAAATAAAATTTTATGCGACTGTCATACTAGTGAGAGGTTTAGCTAGCTAGTCTGGCAAGAATTGTACCCGTGAGAGCGCTAACGAGGCCATTTTCTATAAATTTAATATGTCCAAGGGTCATAACTTTTTTTTAAAAAGTCGATCGTCCACCATTATTGAACTTGTCCGAGATATTGCTGATATTGACCTATAGAATAAGTTTTATAAAAATCTGGCAAGATTTGTGCCCGTGAGAGCGCTAACGAGGCCATTTTCCATAAATTCATTATTTCAAAGGGGCATTACTCTTTTGAAAAAAGTCTATCGGCCACCATTATAGAACTTTGTGTTTTCAATTCGTTAGATGTGTTTGATATTTTGATTTTGGCATTTTATAAAGGACTTTCCGTTTTGAATTTCCCCTGGAGTTCTGTTTTTTTTTTTTTTTTTGTTATTTTACTTTTTTTGGTAATGGGGCTATAGAGGCCCCAGACTGGCCTACAGAAAGTGCACTGTTGACAAATTATATGCACATATTTTCCCTTCGTTGACAGCAGAAAGCAAGGAATCCTGTACTCCTCTAGTAGCATGCATGCCTGTAGAAATATTAATGAGACAAGGAGGGTTTGGCATCTATATATCAGAGGAATCAGTCATGGTTTGGTTCAAATGGTTAACTATTGCTTGTACTTGTTCCTCATCTCGCTTCAAAGATGTTTGTTTGATTTGTTGTGCAATTGCATAGAGTTGCTGGTCAAATAGGTAATCCTGTCCAGCATCATTAAACATGTCAAGACACTACTTCGAGGAAGTATACACTGTGGCCATATCATTCGGTTTAGCATCTATAATTGGCGCGCTTTTTAGACAAAATGACAGTTGTACCCTGTCCAAAAAGGAATCTTTTGTTCAGTTGCATGCAATTCTATTGGAACTTTATAATATCCCTTGACAAATGTCTGGAAAACCCATACCTGGTCAACATCATTACTCTCATAATGATCACATAGTTGAAGTTTTTCAAAAGCATCCGATCGTCGTGATGGTTCTGATTTACATTTTGGTTTAGTGTAAGGAGTCGCATCGCATCGGTCAATGATGCTGTTGTATCATATATAGCCAAAGATCGCTCAATTCCCCGCTTGATTCGTTCCGAACCATAGTCATACACGCCAGCTGATCTAGTTTGAAATATAGCCCTAGCAAAAAGTTAAATAACAAAAATACAGAACTCCAAGAGAATGTAACGTGTGTTTCCATCTAATGTCTCGGCGTTTATGTCAATATTATCGGAACCCTCTTGAATCCACCGACCTCCTACTGAAATGGGTCGAATATCTCCTAGGATGTATCGATCGCCACTGCTACGACGGATTCCATGGTTTGCAACACTGATAAGGTATCTGCGCAATTCAGTGTATGTAACGCAAAAAAAATCAAACTTTAAAGTAAATTTGGATTTTATTAGATAAATACTTACCATCATAAATTCTGAGTATACCCCAACTGCGTCATAAGGTCAGATGGAATATCCCCGACTAAAAATAAACGTACTATCACTGGTTACTGGTCTGGACATATACCCATGTGTACCCATATTCTCCCATTCAATTTCCTTTAGACAGAAACGTAAGGAAAGGGGATGAAGGGGAGGCGGGTGGGACCTATAATTTATGATGGTAATATTGAGCAATAAACAACACTATGAGAAAGAGTAATGGCATATCATAAAATTAGTAGTATCCAGTCTGTAATAATAGGTAGGATCTTGTATTTCATTATATGCCTGCCAGGAAGACAAAGTTACTGCAGAAATCCAGATCAGTCCTACTATTAGTAACTTTGGAATATAGAACTTTACAAATCTTTTGTCAGGCTGAAAATAAAACCACAAAACCATTAAAGATGACACATCAATATGTAGACTGTAAGCATGTACTAAATTATCTTTTGGTTAAATTTACTTGCAAACTTTCTTCAGATGTAACAAAGTAGTTTTTTGCTGTCTTAAGATTTATTTACATACATAAGATTCGATATTGTTTGTTTTATATTTCATTTTTGTATTTAAATTACATAGGATGATTGGGGTATACAAAATTATCTGTAGCATATGTTTCTTAGGTAAGATATATCCACAAATGAGAGGTGTTTGGGATGTATTAATCCACAACCCCATCCTGTTGGGGCTGAGGGTGTGTGGTCATCTTCTAAAAATAGATAAGAATCAAAGCAAAGCTGAAGTCAATATAATTTTATTGAGATTATTGGACAGTCCATAAACTGCCTATTGGATGGATTTCTTTTTATTATATCAAAATATTCAACTGAAAATGTCTTGAAACAAGACAGCAAAATTTTATTTTTTACTTTGAATATGAAATACATTTTTTGAATCATTTGTCATTGGTTTATGCACATTCTGTTTCAACACTCAAGAACAGTTAAATGTTATTGCTCTTGATTTTGTATTGTATGGAGAGAAGAATAGAATTTTTAATATCTTTAAAATATTTTACAATTGTTAACCATTTTACTGACTGACATAATATAGTTTACAATTTTTCAAAATGTTCTCCACTGATAAGTTAACATCATAGTACAATATAATCATCAATCTGTTGTTCTTTGTCAGAAAGTATATATAAACAAATATATAAATATAATTTTACCTGTCTGACATAATGATATATACACAACCAGAATAATAACAGACCACAAAGAAAAGAGGCTTGGAACAAGGCATCAAACATTCCAGGTACCCAGCTGTTAACTAGGAATGTCAGCGGAAATATTGGATCTAAAAACCTAAAACATTCCAAATACAACAAAGAAAGGCATAAAACATTCCTGGTACCCAGCTGTTAACTAGGAATGTCAGTGGAAATATTGGATCTGAAAAATAAAATTTTGAATACAACAAAAAGGGGATGTATCATTTCTCACAAAATAATAATCATAATATTGTAACGAAATGCGGGTCCCCTGAAATGGAACTTGTTTCCCATAAAATTGTGTGATGTTGTTTAAATCTTACCAATAATTGACTTTTCTTATTATATATTTCTTGTATAACTATGTTTAAACATTGATAACTCTAAAACTTTTTATTATTCTTGCCTATGTTTTTACATAGGAACACCTGTGCATTGTGTACTTAAAATGACGTACAATGACGTCATTACCTATTTTGGTAATCACCAGTTCCGGTTTTGGTAATTTAGGTATTTTCCGAAATGGTAAATGGTAAACCAAAATGGTAAATGTTAAACCAAATCGGAAAATTGGTTTGCCTAAGTATAAATACGGCGGAGAATACAGATAAGTCTTTAGCACGATTTTATCCTGGGCAAGTAACACTCGCTAATTCCAAGCTATTTTGATATACGTACAGATACCATGTACCATACCAAGTAGTAACCAGACAGCCAACACTATTACAATGTCCGAGGAGACGACGTCCGTATAATGTGGGTTTGTTAATTCCTTTCCAAGTTACATTTAGAGAATAACTTCTCGAGAGAAACTTTATCTTTTGGCATTGAATTTGATTTACCATTTGCCGATTACCAAACTACCTTTAGTAAACTTTCTGGGTATATTTTTCCGCTATTCATTTTCTTTAATTCACGATAGAAGGTTAATAAAGTATTTATCTGTTAGACTAGAATATTGTTAAGTTATTTAATATTTATATGTATTGTTTATATTTAATGCATCTTAAAGTTAATATAAGTTGATTTTTATTTAACGAGTCTGTTATTCTTACAAACATCGAGAGTTACCATTCAAAAACCTATACTCCAATCTACCCTTTTATATCAGAGTCATTACCTTACCAGAGGAACCAAACCTTACCAGTGTGTATTCAGAATACCAGAGTACCACATAGTACCACGATACCAGAGTCCACGCTACCAAATAAGAGTCACCAGATATAACTTTTATTTTTTATATACTCGTTCATTCTAACATAACACATTCTTATAGCAACGCACTAAGGGATAAATATTTATAGTTTACACTAAGGCCCGACCGCTCGGTTTTCGTTACAGTGGTGGCAGCGTACCTACATTTTTATATTCTAACAATAAGTGTCATTATATTCAAGATAAGGCATAAATAAAAATAAGTAAAATGGATAGCGCGGAAAATAAATTTGAAACACCTAGGTTAACTGCCCAGGGTAGACCAGTGTTCCCCCGATCTCGGTCCTGTGAAATTTTCCATGATCTGACGCCGACCGGAGAGATAGGCAAAAGAGTGAACCAAGATCAATGTCCCTCACAAGAGAATACGAATAGATACGAAAAGGATGGTATACATCATGCTGACAATAGGCCATTGTCAGGGGATCTATCACCATCAAGGAAAGTGGCCATTGACCAAGCGAAAAACCCGGAAGTTTCAAATAGGGCAACGGTTGTGCATTTGGAAAAAAATGCAGCGCGTACGGTAAAACAGAATTTTGGTGAAGAGTCAAGGACTCTTTTGGACCATTGCCGCCAGAGGGTCTAGGTATTGGTTTTGGAGTCAGAAAGCAAGGTATTCTGCTGAGGGAGACTCCGGGAATACAAGACGAGTCGCGACGTCTTGTGAATCCGATGCCCGACGGGGTAGATGGGATTCGGGACATTTACCTAGGACTTTGGACCGGGGCGTACCCCATAATCAGGGGCAACGTACCAAGCATTACCTTTGACGTCCCGCGGACGATTCAGAGTGGGGGTTAACGGGACCGACCAAGAACACCGTACTGATGAAATGACCAGTAATTCAAATTATGCTGGCATTAGCAATGAACAAAATTTTGAGCGTGATTATGATTTAAACTTACAAAATACAAACTATTACAAAAAGAAACCAGCACTTTATGATGGTGAAAGTAATTGGGAAGACTATTTAGTTCAGTTTGAATTAATTGCAGCAATTAACAAATGGTCCGACATAGAGAAAGCTTTAGAACTAGCAACTAGCTTAAGAGGTACCGCCCAAAGTATTTTAACCGATTTAAGACCAGAGATGCGGACCAATTTTATACAACTGACAGCCGCCTTAGCGTCTCGTTTTCAACCAGAAAACCAAGCAGAAATGTACAGGGCGCAAATGAAAAATAAAATACGCGGACGCACGGAACAAATGCCTGTGTTAGGCCAAGACATAAAACGTCTAGTAAGATTAGCGTATCCATCAGCTCCGATAGAGATTAAAGAACAATTAGCATGCGATTGTTTTATTGATTCCCTAAATGATGTTGACATGGAATGGGCTATTTTCCAGGCCAAAGCAAAAAGTATTGATAACGCTATTCAAGTAGCTCTTGAATATGAAGCCTTCCAAAATAGCAGACGTAAACACGGCACTATAAGCTAGTTTGTGCTGTAAATGAAAATGATAATTTTGATCTAAATAGGGAAATTTATTTTTCTGAACAAGTTGATAACATTTCAGGTCGTATTGCAAAAATAGAAAATAAAAGAAAAAAATAAGAATACTTTTTCTTGTTACCATTGTGGGGATTCCGGTAATCAAAAGGGAATGTCCCCTATTGAATAACCGATCCCAAAGTTTCGAAGGTAGCAGAACTAACATCTTAATTCCAAGAAAAGTGGCAGACCAAATGTCTGGTCGGGGAAACTATTAGTGGCTGAAACTGAGGACCAAGTTTCAGCCGAAACTAAATATGATTTTGAAGAATCCAATAATTTTGAGAAATTGAGTCAGATAAATATATTCTGAAAGTATATATGTACATAATGTAATTGTCAGTGTTATGGCATGAAATTGAATTGTTTGATTGATACCGGGTCCACCGTTAGTGTCCTTAACTCATCCATGTATAATATCATGTCTAAGAGTGTAACGCCAGTGTTGTCCAATGCACGTAGTGGTTTAAGCATGGCAAATGGAAGTGTAGTTATGCCGCTGGGGACTGCTGTATTACCAACGCAGTCGGATAAAAAAAATTGTGTATCACCGTCTAATTGTTGCAGACATAGATATACTTGTACCAAGGATTATTGAGTTTGATTTTTAAAGATAATATTCCATATATATTGTATAAGGGAAAGAGTATTTTTTTTCAAATTGACGTTTAATTTATTTCAGATTTTTATTAATTTTGCTTACATTTATTGAATGTTTAAATATGTAACTTATTTTCAGGAAATTCAATTGTACAATTGTCTTTTATGAACATTCGTCCCGCTGAGAATATTTGGTGGTGCTCTATAAACAATCGTCAAAATACACAGAATAAGTTCTGATGTAAGAACATTCATCACGCGAAGAAGATGTGTTAGTGCTTTATGAACATTCGTCAGGTGAAAAAGTTATATATGTCGGTGCTCTATAAACTAAAACATTCGTCAAAATAAACAGAACTTGTGTTTTATGAACAATCATTATGAGAAGAAGCGATGTTGGTGCTATATGAACATTTACAAGACTAAAGGATCATAAAAAACAGTGCGAAATTCAAGCTTTGCGTGAAGACGTATATGAACAATGAACATTCTAAAGATTAATTAAATTTAATTAAATATTGTTTTATATGTTGAATATGTATGTAATAGAATATTTTAATGAACGATATTGAAGAACTTGTTTTAAATTTTAGGAAATGCCTTTTCATGTTTGGGGACAAACATTATTTTTCAAAGATGGGGAGAGTGTAACGAAATGTGGGTCCCCTGAAATGGAACTTGTTTCCCCTAAAATTGTGAGATGTTGTTTAAATCTTACCAATAATTGACTTTTCTTATTATATATTTCTTGTATAACTATGTTTAAACATTGATAACTCTAAAACGTTTTGTTATTCTTGCCTATGTTTTTGCATAGGAACACCTGTGCATTGTGTACTTAAAATGACGTACAATGACGTCATTACCTATTTTGGTAATCACCAGTTCCGGTTTTGGTAATTTAGGTATTTTCCGAAATGGTAAATGGTAAACCAAAATGGTAAATGGTAAACCAAATCGGTAAATTGGTTTGCCTAAGTATAAATACGGCGGAGAATACAGATAAGTCTTTAGCACGATTTTATCCTGGGCAAGTAACACTCGCTAATTCCAAGCTATTTTGATATACGTACAGATACCATGTACCATACCAAGTAGTAACCAGACAGCCAACACTATTACAATGTCCGAGGAGACGACGTCCGTATAATGTGGGTTTGTTAATTCCTTTCCAAGTTACATTTAGAGAATAACTTCTCGAGAGAAACTATATCTTTTGGCATTGAATTTGATTTACCATTTGCCGATTACCAAACTACCATTAGTAAACTTTCTGGGTATATTTTTCCGCTATCCATTTTCTTTAATTCACGATAGAAGGTTAATAAAGTATTTATCTGTTAGACTAGAATATTGTTAAGTTATTTAATATTTATATGTATTGTTTATATTTAATGCATCTTAAAGTTAATATAAGTTGATTTTTATTTAACGAGTCTGTTATTCTTACAAACATCGAGAGTTACTATTCAAAAACCTATACTCCAATCTACCCTTTTATATCAGAGTCATTACCTTACCAGAGGAACCAAACCTTACCAGTGTGTATTCAGAATACCAGAGTACCACATAGTACCACGATACCAGAGTCCACGCTACCAAATAAGAGTCACCAGATATAACTTTTATTTTTTATATACTCGTTCATTCTAACATAACACATTCTTATATCAACGCACTAAGGGATAAATATCTATAGTTTACACTAAGGCCCGACCGCTCGGTTTTCGTTACAGTGGTGGCAGCGTACCTACATTTTTATATTCTAACAATA